GAAGCCCTAGGGGTCATGCCATCCACAACATGAAATGAATTAAAACTGTACGGTGAACATACTGAACGCTTTTGAAAAAGCTTGAAAGAGGCCAACCGACGATTAAACCCCCAAACTTGAATTTTGCTTCTCGTGGTAAGTGAAAGGCACCTGTAGTAGCTATTGATACTAATTAGACGTCACAACACCAATCTCAGAAGCATGAAAAGACCCCAGATTCGAAACTCTAAAAAGAGTACTCCTTCAAAGATGAAGGGGTTCCGACTATCTTCAAATACCTCCTTAAAAACAACAAAATCAAGCTGTCACCTATTACGAATCAGGAGGAAGCTGATAACACTTCGGATTCAAAGTATTGTGCATACCACAGGAGGATCCTTCATCGCACCAAGGCTTGTTTCACTCTCAAGAACAGCATTCAAGCCTTGGTTGACGCCGGCATCATAACGCCGAAATAAGCCGAATGAGAACCCAATCCTCCGATGAGTATAAGAGGTTAAACTACTTCTCCCATGCCTCCAGCTGGTATATGAGGCTAAACTATTCCCTACCTTTAATGGGAAGTTCTTGGAGAATATTACTCTTAATATTCTTAAGGATAACCAGATAGTGTGGCCGAATACAATTGGATTCAGGTTCACCAAAGAGCTGGGGGTGGGATACCTCAATGCATTCTCATAGGAAGTTCCTGGAGAATTTTATGCATGGTATTCTTAAGGATAACCCAAAACCAATAAATTCTTAATCATGATAAAGAATGATTAAGAATCTCCCACTCTAGCTATTTAATCATTTCCAAGATGATTAAAACCCTCCCACCGTGACTTCTCAAGCACTCTTTCGTTGAGATGAGATTCAATAACTTTATCCGGTCAATCTTCCCTCACAAAACCCCCCATGGTCTAATTGTGGAGTGCTTAGTCCCCACTTATCAAATCAATTAACGGTGGATCCACTAAAAATTATTTATGGTTTGATCCACTCTAACTCCCACTATGTCTATACACTCAACACATCCATTGTTAGAGTCTGTACACAGTATTGAAAGTTTCAAACCCCCTTGTGTTGAAGTCCTTACAACTTGACACCAGAAACTCCCACTGTATTGACACAGTGATTTGTGTTAAAGTCCTTGCAACTTGACACCAGAAACTCCCACTGTATTGACACAGTGATTTGTGCAAATTGATACTCCGCTGTTATTTGTACCACCTCACTCTAATCTTGGTCAAACCTTCCTACGGTTAGGATCAAAGCCAAAATCCCCTCTTAATTCCTTTCATGAACGAGAAATTCACTTTTAAATTGAGCGATCAAACCTTCCTACAGTTAGGGTCGTCTAAAACCTCCCACTTGGCCAAACCTTCTTATAGTTAGGACTAAAACTAGAGTCCCTCTTGATAAATGAGAAATCCACCTTCAGATTGGGTAATCAAACATTCCCACAGTTAGGGTCATCCAAATCTTTTTTTATTCTCAAAGTGAAGATCCCACTTTGAGTTTCTTTTGCATCTTGAGATAGAATATAAAATTTTTCCTTTCCAGCATCGGCTTCGTCTGTGCCCCAAGAGAAGACACTACCTTCCAACACTAAAATCTATACCTTACGCGTATGGGGAACTTTATATCGATACCTAAATAGAGATAAGTCTGTATCTAGCACATACTGGAGGGTGGTCCGTTCTCGTGAAAACGACCAAGTCTACGTATTCAATACTGTAGCACAAAAAATCCATGCCTTTAATGCATAGGGAATTTTATTCCGAAGTCTAAGTAGAGATAAGTCAATACCTAACATGCGTTTCCGGTTAGTATTTAATCGTAAAAAAGACAAAAGCCCACATATACAATAAGCCCACATATTCGACATTATGGTAGGTTGTTATTAATAACACTAAAATCGTTGTCTTACACACGCGGGTAATTTTATCCCGAATTCTAAGAAGGGATAAGTTAATGCCTAACACGTGTTGTCGGTTTAGTCTTTCACCGGGTGAAGAAGACACCAGAATCTAAGTCTGGGGACTTTTATCCCGAATTCTAAGAAGGGATAAGTCAGTGCCTAACGTGCATTATCGGGTAGTCTATTCCTGTAAGAAAGACCAAATCTACGTATTCAATCTCGTAGCACTAAAAGAGTTAACTCTTTTAGCACAACGTTACATGCAGAATGGACTTAAACAATCTGCATGCTAGCCCGACTCAAATGGTAGTCGGTAAAGGCTCATCAAACCCGTTGATGGCTAAGGATTTGTCAAAAATCCTATAAAAACAAGAGTTATTGACGTACCAGCTTCATTAGTTGGTCTCGTGACTAGAGCATCCAACAACTTCAGTATAAGATCCATACCTATAGACGAAATAATTTTAATAGTTGGTCTTGTTGTCCGACATTTAGGACTGCCATGCTCCAATGCCTTAAGAGCTTAAACTGTATAGACTCCAGCAAACGTATAAGTATAAACTATGCTAGCGCCGGTCAATACGTTATAGTAAAGGTCAACGCCGGTCAACACATTACAGCAAAGGTCAACACCAGACAATGCGTTACAGTAAAGATTAATGCCGGTCAACGCATCGATAGTTTTGCCAAAATAAGGCTAAGGAAAAGTTCTAGGTTAAAGGATGATTCCAGGAAGTTCAATCACATTCAGATACCAACTCCCGACAAAGACGATCAGTTCAACGTTAACTCAATGATAAGAGCCACGTTTAGAAATTTACACACCAGCTCAAGTCCAAGATTTCGACTACGGTCAAACGATAAATGTAGCACCAGAAGAACTTTATCTATTTGACAAAATACTAAGTAGATTGAAGACTGAAGAAATCAAGAATTGAAGCCATTCATAGGTCCTTCTACGTGATCTCCTCGACAAAATACTGAAGAGATTGAAGACATGGCCTATCTTATTCAAAGCATTCCAGACTCCTCTATAAAATAATGAGTCTAAAATACTTTGGAGAGGGTATCTCTAGGCGTCTAAAAATACCTATAGGTGTCCGAACATAGCTCGAGACGACAAACCGTCGAAACAACAAAACGGCGAACCACTAACGACATTACAACAAGCTCGCACACTCATCAGCCAGCTCCAAGTAGCCCGCACATTTGTCATCCGCATCCAAGTTAACAAATCGTATGAAGCAAATCGGTAAAGTGGACAAGTCAACTGAATGATAAAATACGAGTAACTGTGAAATAGGTCCAACCCGAACGAATCGGAAAAGCCCTTGGCGGCTAAGTCACGTCAAAATGACTCAGCCAAAGCCAGTGGCTCAGCCCACGATCGAGCCACC